AAAAAAAAAAGAAACTGTCCAGATGACCTGACTGAAAATTGTTGGATTGTATACCTGGATTACTGAGAATGGACTTTGTTAATATTATAGTTTGTTACTGCTATGTTAGACTCATAAATCCCTAACCAGGATTATCACTGTGAGAGAAAAAAATCACTGTAATGCCACATTGATTGGTGATATGTCCTGCTGATTATCCATGCTGCTGATTACCCATGCTGCTGATTTATTTCATGCTGCTGTGTTCATTCGTACTCATCTACTCACACAGACTCATGTTCGTGCTGCTGTTGTTTGGCAATAATGGTGTTTAGCGTATATCTTAGTTTATATCTTAGATCCTTATTTACTGTTTATTTTTACACTTTGTATTTTTGCTATTGTTCGATGTAACTGGGAGCCTGTGTACACAATTTTGTTCCACCTCATGTACCACGTGATGAAACGACAATATCAGTTACAGTAAACCCAAATTTTCCTCACTTTCTCCTCCGTCTTCCCTAAACCAGGTGTAGTCACTGAGGATGTTGGACTGACCAAACGTGTTATTAGCCTGCAGAGCAGGCATGCATGGTAACCTTGGGCAACATTATTGCTGTACTTTGTATTGACCAAGCTTCTTCACTTAGTTTTAACGTCTCAAGTTCTCACTGACAGCTTTCTGTTTCGTCTCCACAGCCGTTTATGTGGTTTGAAGCATGAAGATATTTACGTTTAATACAATGCTTAAATATTTCCTCCAGTTGATCTGAATAGAAAGTTACCTTAAATGCAACAATTTTATTTTTTACATATGACCAACAATACTTGGATGAAGGCATTTTTGAGTCACATTTGTAATTTTCCCCCCAACAAAATAAAATGGCTGAAAGAACATTCTTTTGTTTTTTATCAGGGGGTTTGTAGATAAAACGGATATTGCACAAACCACACTTACAGGAATTTCAGAGCAACAATTTGCAGAATAATTTTCTTCACTAACTTCATACCAGATGTTTATACAGAACATTTATCCTAACTTGCCCCAATTGCTTTGAAGTTTGTGAAACCTCATAATTTGCCTTTAAACGCAGGTTGATATTTGAGTTTTGTTTGAAAGAAAGTGCAGAATCAGAGTCAGACTCACCCATTTCCTGTGCTCCCGGCTGCTGGGCACGCTGTGCCTGTGTCCGGGTGCAGATGCTGGAAGAGGGCCTGCAGAGGGCAGCTCTGCTGTGGAGCTAGACCCCAGCTGCTGGTCCACAGCCACCGACATGAGACCCTCCAGAGGATTCACAGCCATCACTGACCAATGCTGCAGAGCACTGCAACAGGCTGCCTTTAAATCTTCCTAACTTTTGTTCAGTCTGTTTTCATTGGCTGGACAGAAGTTTGTTTTTCACTATTAGAGCCTGGTATGTTGGAAGTTTCTACCTTTTATGACAAACTTCACTAAAAGCTCAACAAAAGCCACAGCCTGAGGTTGTCTTTTCATCTGAGAGCATCTTTAAAGGCTAATCTAGATCTGAGGAGAAACTACTGGAACAGCTGGAAACATTCAGCACATCTTCCTGAGGTCTCTCCTTCCTACAGCTGTTGAAGGACCGTTGTGTTCATTCATCCCACAGCTCCTGTCTGTAGCTCCTCTGTGAACCGACTGTCGTTCGGCTCATCGCTGTCCTTATGCAGATTTCCTCTTAGCCTCACCCTCTCTCCGTCTCCCTCTGCTTGTTTCCTAATCGGGTGAGGTAATGTGGGGAACTTCATGCGGTCTTTATCGCAGCCGCCCGGTCATCCTGATCCTCCCCTGGGTGTATGGCTGCCAAAAAGCGCAGGCAGGCAGGCAGGGCCTGGGGGAGTGCAGCACTGGGAGGGTGTCTCAAGCCAGGGCACTGGGGGGCCTTGGGAAATTCAGAACTTTGCAAACAGCTGGACAGGGTGGGATTTTAGGCCTGGGACAGCATAACATTTAATGTTACCAAGGGGCAGAAATGCATCCGAGTTAGTTTTTGCTTTGTCTTTTGTAAATGGGAGCTTCTCAGCCTGATTGAACTGGAGTCTGATAAGCACCATCTTCACCATCATAACCTACAAATGAGAGTTTGAGATAAACTCCAGATGAGTCAACGGTACATCACTGGAACCCTGGAAATTTCAGGCCCGTTAGTAATTCACAGTTTGTCCATGTTACAAATGTAATGTTTAATGAAACCTTGCCATTTTGGAAACAACTGCCTGGGATCTATTACACAACATCAGTTCCAAAGAAGTTAGGACACCGAGTAAAATGTAAATCAAAACACATGATTTGCAAATCTCAAAAACTCTTTTTCTTAAAATTAATGCAGTAAACAAACGTTGAAACAAACAAAAATTGTAAACTTTGTAAAAAAGATTTTGGTGTGGCTGAATCTAGAATAATGTTCCTTTTGAAAATTGGGTTGCTACATCAAAAAACAAGATGGCCACCACCAGATATGTTAACTGGCCACCCCTATTATTTGAGGAAACTATATTTTTTAGTTTTTATATTGCTTAAAATATAATTTAATGATATTATATTTAATTATTGTATAATTCCCTCACACTATGGGGTGGCTGAAGATTAATCTATGGTGGCCAAGGCCACCACTGGCCACCCCCGGCTCTTCCATTGCATCTGGTTGTGGATGAAATCTCTCCCTTTGCTCGCCAGGATCCATCAGTCTGCACCCCCTTGAAAAAGAGCAACAACTTACCTCTGTCTGTCCACACAGTGTAACTCCTACACATTGGAATATCTTGCAATAAAAACATTAAGGTTTACTTTCATTGCCTTTTCAATTCCAGTTCAGGAAAACACTCATCTTGAAAACTATAAAACATTCACTACTCAAATCCTTCAGCCACGGGGGACATGGGTGTATCTTTTCTTTAAAATGGACTTCGGTAAAGTGGAAAACTGTTGACTGGTCATACCAATTGAAACTGATTTCTTTTTTAAACTATGCATGCTATGCCCTCTACTACAGAAAAGAGGGACCATTCGGTCCGTTACCAGTGAACAGTTCAAAAGCCTGTCTCTCTGATGGTATAGGGGTGCATTAATTCCTCTGGTATGGGCAGTTTACACATTTAGAAAGGCATCATTAATGTAAAAAATATATACAGGTTTTAGAACAAGTTCCCATCCAGACTGATGCCTTTTTCAACGCTCCATAGTTTTAGAATTGGATGTGTTGTCTTAATACCAGCTCCTTGTTTTGCATTTGAATGTAAGAACATTCTGATCATTCACAGAGGCATCTCTTCAATCTTCTGCTTTCAGCTAAAACCTCTGCAAACCCTTATAACACCAACACACAACCAAAGTTCTCTAAATGTCAGAGTATGTTTTGAACAAGTCCTTGGTGAGAGTCCATTCCCTCTTCTAACAGAAACGAAAATCTCTCAAATCACACGGAAATCACTCTCAGCCACCATTACATTAAATTTTAGGCCAGTTCCGTAATTTTGACTCAGTTTTAACCATTTTCATGTTGGAAAATGACAATTTTCTGTGGCAGCCATTTAGAATCAGATTAACACAGTTGTAGGCAGGGCTTAATTTGTAAACCGATCAATTCTGGGGGCAGGGGGTTCCAGGGGGAAAGCGCATGCTCACAAGAGATAGAGCTGTCATTTCTAACCCAAGCCCTAAGTCCAGCCCCACCCGAATTCGGGGCAGGCCATGATATTGTGCTGGATGGGCGGGCCGGGTCAGTGTCAGGCTTTTGATTGGGTCAGGATCAGCCACGACCCAATTATATGATAACATGGCCTGCCATACAATAACCACCCGCACATGGCTTCCCTTCAGACTAGTTCTGAATTTTGGTTTGACAAATATCTCTATCCCCTTAAGATTATAACACCTTTGTCTTTTAACAAAATTTCTTTGGATATTTAATGGTAATGTGTGATTTTGAGCCCTATGCATAACTGATAAAATACTATAATCTACCAAATCATGGAACTTCAATAAGTTCAGTTGATAAAATAATGTGCTTGATGGGTGACTGTAATGCTTTCTGGTGATAATTCTTACAGCTCTTTTCTGTAAAATAAAAATAGGTTTTGTAAATGTTTTACACGCTTTCCCCCAAACATCAATGCAATAGATTAAATGTGGAACAATGATTGTGTTATACAACATGTACAGAGCTTTATCATTTAATAATTCCCTGACTTTGTATAGTACTGCAATATATTTAGATATTTTTGTTCTTACAGAATTGATGTGATTTTTCCATGTTAGCTGTTCATCAATGATTACACCCAAAAATTTCATCTCATTAACTCTACAAATCTCAACACCCTCAATTTTAAATGGATCATCAACAGTTCTCTTTTTGTTACTAAATATCATGTATTTAGTTTTATCTAAATTTAATGATAATTTATTAAGTTTAAACCAAGTTTGTATTTTATCAAATTCTGTCTTCATCAATTCCAACATCTGTTTTACATCTTTACCCAAACAGAAAAATGTGGTGTCATCTGCAAAAAGGACACATTTGAGGATTCACTAAGTCATTCACATATAAAATAAATAACTTTGGTCCAAGTACAGAGCCTTGAGGAACTCCACACGTGATATTGCACAGGTCAGATCTTACACCATTTATTTGTACAAACTGTTTCCTATCTTTTAAATAGCTAGATACCCAGTGTAATGCTGGTCCTCTTATACCATATTTATTTAATTTTTCAAGGAGAATAGTGTGGTCAATAGTATCGAATGCTTTTTTTAAATCAACAAAAATACTAACACAATACTGTTTTTGATCGACAGCAGTAGTTATTTGTTCTATTAAGTCCATGAGAGCCATTGATGTAGAGTTTTTTGCTCTAAACCCATACTGACTGCTACTTAGAATGTTTTGTTTAGTAATAAATTTATCTCATCTGGTCACAAATAGTTTTCTGTTTCAATGTTGCTGCTGATCTGTTTCATGCTGATGTGTTCATGTGTGCTCATCTGCTCGCAGAGACTCGTGCTCATGTTCGTGCGGCTGTTGGACGTAATGTTTTTATTCTATTAGAGCTTAGTGTATTTTTAGTTGATATTCATATTTTAGATATTATTGTTTTTCTTTTACATTTTATTATTGGATGTAACTGGGACCCTGTGTACATAATTTCGTTCCACCACATGTACCACATGTGGTGCGAATGACAATAAAGAATCTCTGACTTTGGAGGAGAGGCTGTGTGATCTGGAAGCTCGGCTCTGCGCTGTAGAAAAACCTCTAGCTAGCCAGGTCCCCTTAGACAGTGCAGAACCACAGAGACTAGCTCCCGTTAGCGATCCTCCAGCAGACCCCGAGCAGCCGGGACCCCAGGCCGGCTGGGTGACTGTCCGGAGAAAGCATAGTGCTAAGGCTAAGCACTCAGTTCACCACCAACCCGTTCACGTTTCTAATCGATTTTCCTCGCACAGTGACACACCCGCTGTGAAGCAGACCCTAGTTATAGGCCCTTTTCACAGTTACGTCAGACAACTTCTGTTCTGACTTGACGCAGTGGATCAGTACTTCCGGGTCTATTCTCCCTCAGGAGACCTGCCTGGAAATTTCACGGAATTTCATTCTGTCATCCTTTATTTATAGAGGTTAAATTACAAGATATAGCGCAAGGTAAGGCTAATAAAAACAGTATTTACGTGTTCGTTAGCCATGGTAACATTATCCATCATTGCAGCAACTTTAGCCACAGTAGCTAAAATATACAACATGGGCTGTCAGTGCTCTAACGTTTAAAGGTTTACTTTCTATATTAACTTTAATAAAAACAGTATTTACGTGTTAGTTAGCTGTGGTAACGTTATCCATCATGATCAATTTACCATTCTGTAACTGTGTAAGGAAACAGCCTCCAATTGTAAAGTAAGCTAGCTAGCAGCAACAGGTAGCTAAACTCTACACTGCTGCTGCCTGTCAGTGCTGTAACATTAAAATGTTTACTTTATCTATTAATGTAAAATCTCTGACATCTTCCAATACTGTTATTTAGAATAGCATTTTAAATACTGAATTAAAAACTATATGTCAAAACAACAAAGTCCATGCTCAATAATCCAGGTATACAATCCAACATTTTTCAGTCAGGTCATCTGGACAGTTTCTTTTTTTTGTTGTTGTGCTGAAACGTTTCGCCTTCGATCTGGAAGGATTTATGTCAAAAGAGAGAAACGTTGGTTACGTACTGTAACCCCAGATTCTATGAATATAGGTGTAGCCCTTTAAGGCTGTTGCTTATTGGTTTATCCCGTCTTGCGGAGCA